ACTGCCGCTGTTTGGCTGGATGGACGGGTAACACCTAATTACAATGTGCCATGTGTCATAAACTGGCTGTGAAGCAGGCAGCGTAGGACCCAAATGCAGACTCACAGGCAGAACTTTAACAAAAAAAATAAAAACACAGCTTTTATTATAGGATATAAAATAATACTGTCACGGCGAGTGAGATGAGCCGTGTGGAGATGATAAAGGCAGGAACTTGTAAAGGTGTGAAAGTGGTTTATTGAACACAAAGTACAAAATAGAAAAACGGCAAACAGGACTGCAGACTGTCTAAACTGAGAACAACTAAACTACAAGACACGAACCAGAACACGAACATGAAGGAGGATGGGCAGAGGTAAGTGACGATGGACAGCAGGGAGAACACACAGATGAAACACGGTGGATACACAGACGGACCAGCGGCTACTACAACAGAAGACACGACTTAAATTAAGTCTGCATGCTAAGATTGTATTTAAAATGCGGAGGTCTGCATTTAACATAGTTATTGGGCTTTAAAACTGACACTCTGTTGGGTCTTTGCCTTCTTTAGGAAGAACCAGTATTATGGCCTCTGTCCAGGATGGGGCCATTGTTTTTTTACTGTAAGGCGTAATTAAAAGCTTATGATGCCTTAATCTCCCTTTTTTTCTTCTTTTTGTCATCTTCACCAGGGGGGGTTGGCAGGGGGCTTTGCTGCTGATCCTCAATTAGACCTTCTCTAAAACATAGCCATGGACTCACTTCTCCTTTAGCATCAATAGATGTTTTGGTTTTTTTCGTTCATATTCAGGATTGCAGTCTTTGATAGTCAAATTAATGTAAGAATGTACTGCAATGATGGAAACACATCTGTGTGTGTGAACAGGTATCCACTGTGACAGCGTGTGTGCAGAGGGCCACTGGGGTCCAAACTGCTCCCTCCCCTGTAACTGTAAGAATGGAGCATCCTGCTCTCCAGATGAAGGAACCTGTGAGTGTGCTCCAGGATACAGAGGCCCAACCTGTCAGAGAAGTAAGTCCCACATCAACACCACACAATACTGTAAAATCATCACATAGGTTGTGGTGAGCTAAAATGATATATAGGTTTATTTAACCTCACTCTGATTTAATAGTTATTATAGTCATCAATAGTCATGATTAATATCAGTGTTGTTAAAAAAAAAAAAGTCTGGAACAGAAATAAACCTTGGGTTCACATTTGGAAGAGAAAATGAACATCAAAAGCAAAATGTGATATGATTAACCTGCATCTGATGATTTAAACCAGGGGCTTTAAAATATTTTGACATGGTTCAATTAAAATATTTGTACTTATTATCTTAACTCATTTAATGTTAAAATATATAACAGGAAGGTCCATAAGTATTTGGACAATGACACAAATGATGACACACGAGTATTTTAAGATGTAGTAGAATTACAGATTTTCTGTTTTAATGTAAGGAGTTTAACAAAAGTATTACACTAACTGTTCAGGAATTGCAGCTTTTCATATACATAGTCAGATATTTTTACAGGCTCAAAAGTGATCTGAGCATTTAATGACAAGAAGTTCCATGACCAAGTGAGGCCTGTTGGCTTATTATTCCATGAGAAGTTGAAAGATGTGGAGCTGAGAGGTGTCAATGCAAATAAAGTCAACATAAGGTGGAAAAACCAAATTTTATCAGAAACACCAAAAACTTTAGGAGCAATCAAATGAATTAACTTTAGTTAATAAAAGCTAAAGCTTGAATGTCTGCCAGGCTTCACAACACTTACTCAAGTCATGAACATTCTCGAGGAGGTAGGGTATCATTGAAGCCAATCTTCAAAAAAGAAATTTAAAGACCTTCAAAAAGTGTGGAGAAGATAACTTCTTTGGCTCCTTTTAAGTAAA